TATATATATATATATATATATATAGATGGATATCTAGAAATTAATTTTCAGGTATAATATTATCTGATAGAAATAGCTAGCAGCATAACAATTGATTAGTAAATTATGTTTATTGACAATTTACCAACTATCTGTTGACTAAGATTTTGGTGCTAATGAAGTATTATTAATATGCATCTCAGACATTCGTCATTCCGCTTCTGTTGATTTTAAATGCTCATTTAGGACATTAATAAGATGGAATTGAAGAGAAACAATGTTTCTCTATAAAAAAAAAAAGCTATAAATCTGAAAGAGCGATGCTAAATTTGATCAATGAAGCCAATGTTAAGTTTAACTACTACTGAAATTTACTCCTAAATGCGTGGAAAGGATTATAATAGAAACAGACTAATCGGTTTACGTTCTGGGTATCTGTTAAGCTGTTAATTGCATTGAAAAAACGGAACCTTTACTTTTACACGGAGTCCGAAATGAAAATATACTTAACTTTTAAATGCACATTGATCATAAGCAAATGTGTTGTGAAAGGTGCTGTATAAAAATAAATTTAGAAAATTAATCATTCTGAAACTGAATCTCTAAGGATCTTAGGATGAAGGATAAAGGGCAAATGCAAGGGAATAGGTTTGTTTTCAGCATTGGTGGGGGCCAAATCAGCCCCCAACCCCCTGCCCCCCTAAACACACACATACTCCTACAGTTTGATAGGGACATGTCCCTGCTGTCCACACCGAAATCCCTGCTCTTAGAAAGATATTAAAGGGATGGAAAACAGCACCAGACACTGAGCAAAGTGCTGCTTCATGTGCTTCTGTGAGAGTATTGAGAGAAAGACACACCCAACAGAAATTAGACTGATTGCTTTATTTAACTCACATTTTGATTATGCATTGTACCAGAATGTATAAAATCTTTCTGAATAACCCCATTATTTTCGGCAAAGAATAACAAAAATGTAACACATGGTGAAAATGAAATCAATCATGCAAACATTTTGTAGCAAACATTTTTTCAATCTAAACAAAAAAACCCTAAAAATATTTCACATATATACAATGAGGACCAGAGAGCATTAATTAAAGAGGAAATGATAATAATCACCACTTTTATTTTCATCACGGTTCACATTATCAATACAGGACAATGTGTCTCACATAGGATACAAAATTAAAGATGGAAATATATGTAAATGTTTTGAGTTTTCCCTGCAAAAGCATACTTATTTGGCCTGCAAATATTTATTTATATACAGTACATTTAAATGTTTTTTAAAACTATATTTTCCTGAAATGGTAACTTCTGCAGTTTTACATGCCTGTTGTTGCTGTTGCGACATTGCAGTAAAAAATTTATATGGTGAATATTTGTTTTTCAGCTTTGTGAGAGTTATAACCCTCCTGTGTGACGGGCCAGTAATCCATTTTCAGAACACTTCTCTATTCCTGACTGGAGTTCTTCATTCTGCCTTGTAGAAGTCATTAGGATAAGAAACAGACCAAAACCTTCAGAGGATGATCACTGTCTCACGGACACAACTTTCCAAGGGACAAAAATCCAGTCACTGTTGGATTCAGACGTACTTTAAGTTGATCAAAGGCTGAAAATGAATGAAGAAAAATAAAATTATCTATACTGACTAACTTTTATAATTCTAGTGACATGATTAATACGCATTTAACGTCTTTAGGCAATCTAATAATTATTGTTATACATAGTTATACATGCAGAGACACATATATATGCATATATATATATATATATATATATATATATATATATATATATGTATATATATATATATACATATATATAATATCATACCAAGGTATTGAAGTCAGTCCTGCATACTGCTTTACTCTCCCAGTAAATTAAAACTGTCGCCACAAGCATCTCCAGCGAGAGCTGAATTGCAATAATCACATTGATCCCTTTGCCAGTCTGTAAAAGTGAAGTATGGACATTCCATGTGGTATATAAATGCATGTTACAGACCTACTCATGCCGAGAAGTCTATCAAACCATTTATATGATGAATTAAAATTGCTATAGACATCTGACTGCACAGTATTAATAAAATAGACCTGCATCCATTTACAAAAACACTCACACAGTACAGGGTTGTCATAAGAAACAAAACTGTAATAAAATTACAGAAGCCTCTATATATTATGAAACAAACTGTAATACATTTGACAATATTACTCCCTCTCATAGCCTTAATGCTGGACTTATCTGCCAAAATAACTAAATATAGAATCTTAACATCTATGGCAGGGGTCTCCAACTCCAGTCCTGGAGAGCTACTATCCAGTTGGTTTTCTATCATAATTGGCTTCTGATGAACCACACCTGGCCCAGGTATTGGAGTTGGAGACCCCTGATCTATGGGCTAGTAGACTTACATCAGAATACCATTGGAATGGCCCTGCCAAATAGATATTCGTTATGCACAAAACCAGAGCAATCAAAGCAAAGAATAAGCTGGTGATATTCAGTATGAATGAAGTTCTGGTCTGTTAGCAAAAGAAAACACAGGTACAGGTGAGTTTAACAGCACACATTTGTTCACCCAGTGGAAGTGTGAATTTATCATACCAGAGCTGAGAACTGTCAGATAAAAATGCCAACATATACCTCTGAGGGTACAATTACTATTCACTGGGGCTTTACCCTCAAGGGTCTGCCAACTGTACCATACCTGTACAGGGAAATGCACCTTCTAGCCTAAGGTACAACAAAATGGACTCTGGGGACCTTTTTTGACTATCAGCGGTACATTAATGTTGTTTGTACCTTGAGGAACTAAACTATACCCGTGCTGTACCCTTTATTCTGACGGTGTAGGTACCTGCTATTTGGGATTTATCGTTAAACATTAACAAATCTCTATTAACATACGAAGGAAAGGCGTCGTTTGAGACTTACCACGCACATATTTGGCGAGTGCCCAGCGCCATATGATACTATGCCAGAAGCTACAAACTACAAAATATAATAAATACAAAGTAATAAATTTAGTAATCGGAAGTGTTTTTTCCAGCTGATAACATCCGCAGTTTAAATATCAATTCAATCAAATGGGAGATCTCTCTCTATGAGAACTGATTTAACACAATAATCAGGGTGAGTTTACATACACCATATAATATTGAAAAACACGCCACTTTGCCAGATAAGTAAAGGATACATTACCAGAAGGCTGGGCATTGTATATGTCAGGATACCTGGTATTTTGTACATGTGCACCAAGCCGAGAGTGATAACAAGCAGCCCTGTGACAATCTGAGCAATCTGAAGAAGAAACAAGCCGAGAAATGAAATTTATTATTTCTGTTGTTAACGGAACAACAAAAAAGAACAACAGTAATAATAATAATAATAGTTTAGTAATAACAACAACAACAACAACAACAACAATAATAATAATAATAATAATAATAATAATAATAAAGAAGACGCACCCCTAGCACTTTGGGCTGTCCTTTACGAAATACCTTGTATGAATCTTTAAAAACACAGTGAAACTTTTCCGGCGTCAAGGTCTCTGACTGCCCGCGGTCGCCCTTGACCAGCGGTATCGTGATGACAATACACTCGTCGCATTTAAATGTGTCCATTACAGTATCTGTCTGAAAAGAAAAGGATTTACAAGACGAACCTCATTGGCTATTTAATCATATTAAGTATAGTACTTAAATCTGACGAGACACATTCTGACCATCTTCCAACTTATAAACAGCATGAAATGAAATGCATCGCTTTTATCATAATTTCGTACTAAAATATTAAATTGTTCAGATATTTCGATGTTTTATCTGGTCTGGCTGGGGATGTGTAGGTCGTTTGTAGCTTCAGAATTGATGTTTAACCGGTGTGACTTTATTTATTTGTTTGTTTAAAAATATCGTTTACTGACTAACAAGCAAAAATCAGATAATTTTTCTCTATTAAATAAAACGTTCTTATTAATAGCTCTGCTTAAATATTTTAATAGTTCATGAATCTGTCTTACCTGGTGACTTCAGCTGTGCAGGATTGTACTGCGCTTGGGTTTGGTGACTGAAAAGTCGCGATGACAAAAACCCCAGACCAAGGGGACAAACCACACAGATCCACCCCTATCGACTGCGCTGCGTCGCTTCACTGACGACGATTCGGGCGAAGCGAAGAAAGCAGATCGAGGCGGAAAAGTACCAGGCACTACATGCGATTAAAAGGGTTCATAAAAACACCACTTTATTGCTTTTGTTAAATGAAAAAAAAATCACTGAGTAAAGTAAACTAATAAGTCACCTGGTAGGAGCAGCTACTGCTGCACATCAGGGCCACTAACTGAAACGGCCTCAGTCGTGAGTAAATGTTCGATGCAAATCCAAGTACATGCATGTAAGATGCACTGAAACCTGAATTACAGTTAACATGGATGCCAGTCCATCTTCATGCTTTACTCCTTACCTGAGATCTGGACAACTGAGCTGAGCCGTCCCTGTTTTACAAGTTTCTTTGAGCACAACCAGAGTACAACGATCGCCTTAAATTTAAAACAAAGAATATGGGAAAGAACATTTACAACATATATATTGTGTATATACAGTACTGTATACATTTTATATATCTTGTAGCATGCTATTTAAGAACTTAAGAAATGTACATATAATTGTATTATTTAAATGAATATATAAATGTATGTATTGATCTATGTGTGTGTATGTATGTATATACACACCAACACACACACAGGCCTGTACTCCACGTTGCGGAAAACTAAAGACATGAATTAATACCTTCATGGCGTAACGACAGCTACACTTCCCTTTCCTGGCTGTTTCAACATCTCAGCTACTGAAAATAAACTTTGAACTAATTAAGGTCGAGGGGCCGCCACAGCACTTTTGCAGAAAAAAACTTTTAGCAGTAATACGTCTATGTTCGAATTTGCCATTTTACAATTGGTGGTTTTTTTGTGCAAATCGCTGTAAATAAGAAATAAGACTCTCGGACTGTGTGATGAGCTCCGAAAATTAACACGGACTTTTAAGAATTGCAACACTGGAGAAATGCCAAAAGTACAAGAGAGTTTTGGATAATCAGGCACCTGCAGTGTTTTTGATGTGATGCATGATCTATTCACAACCCACAACCACACCGTAACTCCTTCTCGGAAGTTTAGTCACTGAAAAATAACATCCGCGGCGATTGACACCCGCCTCCCCAACCACATGATCAGGTTGCGGACGTGTAGGGAAGAGGCCTGATGGTAGGTCTTTATTCATCGGCGACAGAGCGACGGAAAAACAAACGGGTGAGTAAGAATATAATATGTAAATAAAAAAACATTTAATTCATAGGAAAGTAATATAACCAATGTCAAAGCCGAAAACAAATCTATTACATAAAATCCTTAGGTACTATTATGAATTATAAAACCCTTCATTATATTTCAAGTAATCTTTGTTGGACTGGGTTATATAATATACAATTTACCAACTATATAGGACTAGGATTTTGGTGCCATTAAAGGTTTATTAATATGCAATCAATCATTCTTCATTCTGCTTCTGTTGACGAAGCGATTTAAATTCTCATTTAGGACATTAATAAGAAGGGCCTGAAGAGTAACAACGAAATAAGTCCTAAACGAAAATATGGTTAACTTTTAAATGAACATTGAGCTATATGTGTAATTAAAATGTGGAACTAAATGTCATACGGCACATATATCCAGTGTATCCACTATTCAGTAAATGTAAAATACGTTTATGGGAATAAAACCGAATGTCTGATGATCAAGCATTTTAAAATATATCATAATTATTTGTTTTATAATAATCATGGAACAGTACAGTGTAATTAGCTCCAGGGTGTACTATGCCCAGGGGCGGATTAACGCACAGGCTAGATATGGCTTAAGCCTAGGGGCCCCACGTGTGCCAGCCTGCAAGGGGGCCCCCATTGGCGCGGAGGCAGGCGGGGTTGGGGGGCCCACAGACTACTGTAGCCTAGGGGCCTCTGTACACCTTAATCCGCCCCTGACTATGCCTATATGCTTTTTATTGTTTGGGAAATGCTCGAGGCCCCTGTCACCCTTCTTAGATCAGAAGATGCATGGATGGGTGGATGGATGGATGGATGGATGGATGGATGATACATTGTATACTGCCATCCCGTCCAGGGTCTTGTGCCTTATAAGGTTCACCGAGACAAAGTGAAATTTGCCGCTGAAGTTTGCCGGGGTGGCGCCGGTGCATGGTTTGATAAGTTGATAAGTTCGCGCCTTAAAAGATGGTCGCCTGTATGTCGCCTAATGGATTTACCGATACTGCATCCCGGGATATAGCCTACCCCAAGCTTACTGCGAACAATGTACTGAATAAGCAGATACGTTTGTTTGACCTGAACAACCGTCAGGTAAAAATCTACATATTTCCTCAGGGAAAAGAGGCTGATCGCCATGGCCGCGTCTGAAATTGTAGAAGAGTCTGAGGCGACAGAGCCACTGTTTAAGCAGTACAAAGTACATGAGGTCCTCGAGATCAAGAAGCCTCGTTTGCACAACCTGCTAGAGAAACAGCCCATGTCTATTGGGGTAAGATATTCACTTTGTTTCACTAATTATTATAATTATACTCTGTATCTTGTTCGCTATATAATTTTTTAAATTCATTTTATCGTGACTCGTTCCAAAACAATAAAATGAATTGCCACCCTAAGCATTGCTGTAGTTATATTCTATTTGGAAACCGAATTTGGTGAGGTTCTCCAACTGATAAAGGGTCCGGTAAAGGTTGAAAAGCTGAAACCGACTGAAAGCTTATACCTGGTAAAATTCCCATTAGAATATAAATAAGAATTAATAAGGGAAATATGCCAATTTTTACAAGTCAGCGTAAGGAGTATCCACGTTGTGGGCGAGGATATGTACTGACTATTAGGCAGGGGCAAGCATTTTGGGGGGACACACTGGCATAAAACTAATATTTTATGTTGAATGTGGGGGGGTCTAAACGAATAATTATGAGATGTGAGGGGGACACGTCCCCCTCAGATTTAATGGCGGCGACGCCCATGCTATTAGGCACAACATAGGAAAGGAGTCCCGGACGCGACATCGCTGTCCTGACGTTAGGTGTTTAAAAGCTTTCGCGGGATGAGCTGTTTATTCAATTTAACAAGTAAAAACAAGTATGAAATTAACCATGTCAATTGTGTAGCCTCTAGCGCAAATCTATACTTATTGGAGGCTTATTTAGAGATTTGCAATATTAGAATTTAGTGATTAATTGTCATTGTTGACACACCACAGCACACAGTGCACAAGAATGAAATGTGTTCTCTGCATTTAACCCATATGTGACAATGTGACATAGCAGGGGGCAGCTTATTCAGCACCTGGGGAGCAGTGCTTGGGGGCGGTACCTTGCTCAGGGTACCTCAGTGGTGCTTTGCTGGTCGGGGATTCGAACCTGCAATCTTTATGTCTCTGATATATAATTTGTAAAATTTTCACTAGGCTTTTCAGACTATATGCGGGATCACGATATATGGACTTGGGATTGTAACAGCTACTTCGGAAGTGGTGACTCTGGGAATCCTGCTCAGAGTGCCAATTCTCACCGGGATTCTGGTAGGATGCATGTTTGAATCCACCACGAGCTTAATATACTAAATTACGCTCATCCTTTAGCTTAATATACCCAAGAAATACTAAATCGAGCCCACGAAATCCCTAAAATATGCGCACGTTGCTTGTTTTCGTTCTCTTAATTTGCTATCTCGAGCTCTCGAATTAATTAAGTTGTACACAAGTGTTAGTTATTTGTGCCCAGAAAACCAAATACAGTACTATTGTTTTGGAACTCCGTTCAATCCATCCGCACTTTTGCTTAGGCGCAAATACTACGGTATTGTGGTAGCAAATAGATTCGCTGACATGTCTGTACAGTAATAAGGTGGCTCCCATTCTAATCTGAATGTTCTTCTATATCTGACAAAGTGTCAAAGTTCTTTGGTGGAAATCAGTGGTTATGGTAATCTAATTCTTAATTCTGCCAATGGTAATAACCGAAATATATACATTTCCAGGCCTTTATAATAATACATACCGTCTCCCATTCCAGATTTATTCTCCTGTATTTTTTAATGAACAAAAACTACGCTTTGTAGTCATTTAGTTAGGATTTATATATCAGGTACTTTTTATGGATTTGCCTTTTTTTGAAATTCAGTAAAACAATTATGGTAACTTTACTTGATGGGGCACAAATATTCTCAGTAGTAACTCAGTTACTAATGACTGTGGTGGACGAAATTTTGACATAATCATAAATAAATAAACCAACAGTAAAGTTTATTTAAATTAATTTAATTTTCTATTTCATAGATTTATAGAGAAAAAAACATTTTGTATTGAAAGATTTTTGGAAAAATACATTTAAATTATACATAATTTTTAATTGTTCTTTTGTATTCCTAAGATTTTTTAATTGTTTTTTGTATTCCAACGATTTTTTTTTTAGGTGGGCAGCTCTAACCTTTTTTCTAAAGTACGATTGGACTTTGCTGATCTGCGCTCCATTACCTTGGCCTTGCTAGCTGCTGTTCATGTTGGTGATGCTAGGTTCGCACTGCACGACTCTCCGGGTCATCAGATTGCTATACCGTTCATATGTATGATTCCATTTATGCCAAAAATTAAATTTTTTGAATAAAAAATTAAATACATTTATTTTTCAATAAATCTTTGGCATTGAAAATTAAATACATTCATTTTTCTATAAACTGTTGGAATTAAAAATTAAATACATTTGTATTACTATTTATTTATTTATGATTATGTCACATTTCGTCCTCCAAACAAATCATATAGTCCCTGCCTATGATAAATGATGCATCACGATCCATTAATGAACAAACATGAGATCAGTAGTTCACTTGTTTTGTTCATTGCTTTTTTCTTCTGTTCTTCCCTCAGTAGTTCAGTCTTACAGAATTCTAACAGATATAGTAACAATATAGTAACTGCTTGAGAAAACATGCGTCACGATTCATTAATGATGAATTAACATGAGACCAGTAAGTAACTAAGCCATAGTCTGTAGTTAATTAATGCGTAATACCATAACACTATATTATTTGTGCCCTGTCAAGTAAAACGTTACCCAATTTATTTACAACTAGTATTCGCGCACTTAAAACTATGTAAGGATGCCTTGACTGTGGTTCCAATATTCCAGCTCCTGGTTTTGCGGCACAAACAGCCAAAACGTGGGCACAACTTAACTAATTCGAGAGCTCAAAATAGGAAATTGAGAGCACAAATAAAAGTACCTTGCACATTTTAGTGATTTTGTGAGCTCGATTTATTATTATATATGTATTGTGATCTTAAATATCAAAATATACGTGTGTAAAATGTAACTATAAAAACATAACATATGGTGTAATGTCCTATTGAGAAATTTCCTGTTGAGAGAATCAGCAGTTGACCAACGTATCTGTTTTTTTCCACCCCCAGTTTTTCTTTTCTGGATTATTGTCTTTCCTGCTGTACAAATTCCCTGCATTCCTACAGGTGAGTAGGCCTGTATTTGTAGTTGAAATTTAAGTAAACGGCATTTCTCGGGATAATAATAATCTGTTTATGGGAACATTGGCACATCGGGAGTACAACGGGAGGAGGGCTGGGTAATTAGGAGACACTCGGGGAAATCCGACGTGTTGGCAGGTATGCTGGTTTCAGAATTCAAGTGTAAAGGACTGCTGTGCACAATCCTACTATCAATCAAATAAAATTTATATAAGTAATATAACGCACAAAAGCAAAGCAAGAGACGCCAAATAATTACCAAGGATTCCTCAAATAATATCTGTACTTTACAGAGGTTAGCAAAGTGAGCGATTGAGTTACATTTTTGTGTAATTCACAAAGTTACTGCTTATCTGAATGCAAAGTTATTCTAATACTGACAGCACAGATGTATATTAATCATACATCATCAGTGAAAACTGTCCCACATGACAAAATTAAAGGGTTATTATCAGCAGCCCTCTGCCCTCCATTGAGGACGTCGTCCTCCAGCCCTGCATCTGCAAGGCCTCCAGCATTGTGATAGACCCCTCCCATCCTTCACACTCTCTCTATACCCCTCCCATCCTTCACACTCTCTCTATACCCCTCCCATCCTTCAC